TCTTTGCTGGAGGTCACCTAAACAGCTCCTGGATCGTACTGGCAATGCATAATGGGAAGCTGGAGCTGCAGCTGAAATACGGCACAGTCAGCAGGGTCACCAGCAGCGGACCCTTTGTCAGTGACGGCCAGTGGAGAAAGGTTGGAGGTTCCTCTCATGAACAGTAATACACTGTTTACATCATCAGCTTCATTGGCAGATTGAAAGCTCCTAAAATGTCTCATTTTCTTCTCAGATCTCAGTGGAGGAGCAGGGGCGGAGTCTAGTGATTAAGATTGACAGGGAGGCCGTCATGAAGATCGCAGTGAACGGCGACCTGTTTACGCTAAAGAAGGGCATGCATGAACTCAACCTCACCGTGGGAGGAGTCCCTTTCAGAGAGGACGGCCTCGTCAATCAGGTGTTTGTTTGTATGTGCTTGTGTATTTTCTCGAATATGCACCAAAAAGAGATGTTCTTCATGTATTTCTCAACTGTTGTGATTGTTACATAGGTGAACCCCCGTCTGGACGGCTGTATGAAGGAGTGGAAGTGGTTGACTGGTGAGGATACTTCCATACAAGAAACCATTCGGTCCAACGAGAACATGCAGTGTTTCAGCGCCGAGGTTCCTGGAGCGTTTTACCCCGGCACAGGCTTCGCTCTCTTCAACATCAGCTATAGTGCAGTGGGTGCGTGTTTGTGTCGATGTGTGTTATGCATAGTGTGGCTGCGGTTTGCGTAACTGAGCCCAATGGCTTCTTCCTAGTTTGTCAATGTTTCATTTGTTTGGGTGAATGTTAGTTGGCTTCCACCATCGCCTACACTTTTGTCAGCATGTTTGCCTTATCTTGTGGAAAGTTCATGACCCGCTGTTCTCTCCCTTCCTGTTCTTATCATTTCAGAATCACAGAACCTGAGTGTCGTGTTGACTCTGCGTCCAACATCTGCAATCGGAGTGCTGTTTGCACTCATTCACCAAGACAGTGTCCCTCTCTCCATCGCTCTGGCCGACTATCATCCTGGCACTGATGAATGGCGAGATGTGAGTCGTCAGTCTGCAAAATGAATTTTTAACAGTATGTTTGATCACAGGATTGACCTTTTGCGCATCTTCAGTTTGTTCTGGTATCTGTAGGTGATGTCGTCATTGCCAGCTCTCCTGCCCCCCTGTGTGATGGCGAGAGCCATAAAATCCAGGTGACAATCTCAGGCAACCAAACACTGCTGCAGGTCGATGGCCAGTCTGGACGTAGTGAAGACACTGCTGTTCCTCTTGATCTCCTGTCCCAGTCCAGCACCTTTACAGGAGGACTCCCTGGTGAGGACACACACATTTATAAACACCTTTTGCCAGGATGGTATTCATACAGCGTGTAGGGTTTAATGTTATGGTGATGCTAGTACTTTGGACAGTGCTATAAATGGGCAGTAGTTAAACTACATAATTATTAAAAGAGTAAAGGCATCTAAAATTTGCAGAAATTATTTTATACTCAGGTGGAAATGAAGGATTTGCAAGCCTCATAAGCCTTTTTATGTCCAGTTTTCATGAGCTGATGAATTGAATAATCTTAAGATTAGGTTTTTCTGACTAGTCGGCCTTTAAAAAGTCTCCCAGCCACGTCTCCAAAACATCCGACACGTCAACAATAAATTATCTTACAGAGTGAATGGTGAGAATATGCAAAATTCATACCATTTATAAGTGGCTCACTTTGTTTTCTTGTACTGTAAATGGCAAACCATAGAAATGATGCAAAGTTGTCAATAAGTAAATATAAATAGCTCCAACATTCCACATACTGGAGTGAAAACAAATATACATATACATACATGTACATAGTATTTTGGCTTTTTCACCAAATTTTTAATGCCTTGATGAGAATTGTCATGTATGTTAAAAAGTGTTCGTTAATGTGTTTGCTGAGTCTGACAGATTGAACACACTGAATAATACTACTGTTAGCGCTCCATCTTGTTATCTGCTGGATCACTTGTTGTCATTTCTTCATTCAGATGTCTCTCTGGTGTCTACGCTGGTGTCAGCGCCCTACAGCGGCTGTATGGAGGTCAGTGTTAACGGACAGCCTCTGGACTTGGACCAGGCCATCCACAAACACAATGACATCCGTTCACACTCTTGCCCCCTGCTGGACTCTCAACAGTGAACAACGTATCAGTCTGCCCGAAACTGATCCATAAGCAGTTCATTCAGGCAATAGAGATGATTTCCAATATATTTATAAAAGCTTTGACCAGTGGGGACATGTTTTAGATTGGAATGTAAAAAGATATATAATAAAAATAACTGGACCACATATCGTGGTGCAGCTGGAGCCTTAGCCCAGGATCACCCTATCCTTTTACTGTTGTGGCACTGCTGCCTAGAGGCATTTGCAGGGATATTTTGTCAGTACCATGACCCAGTACGGCAGTTAGTCAGCCAATGAGCAACATCTATACTAGGCAGAAAATATGGGAACAAATCTTGCCTCAAAAAACTGCCCATGCATCACAGCCTTGTAAGCCCACAAGAACACACAAGGCCTTATCTAGATCAATGTCAAATGGTTGGTCTTGGGTCAGCCTGCTGCGCCTGGCATCCTGTGCTTAAATGCAGATCTGACTGGAACTTTGTAGGCACAGTGACTCTCCGCTGTGGCAACTCAGCTGATAGAGCTGTGGTCATAATGCTTACATCCAGTTTGCATAAGGCCCACGTTCACAAAGCTTGAAATATTCAAGTGCTTATGTAGAATCAGATGAAATGGAAAAAAATGGGGACCAGATGTAAGTAGTCCTACATCATCTACCCTACTCAGAGAAAATGTGTGAATAGGTGCTCAGATCTTCAGAGTTTGGTGCATAATGACTTAGGGGTTGATTGAGGACTACATCAATCTTGTTTGCCCCTCACAAGCTGAATCCCTTCATTCACCACAGCAGGGAGGTGTGGTATTAGGCACAACTTTGTGTTCTATAAAAAACCTTGCACATTGTTGCAGGTAGAAATGGACTGCGTGTGAAGCCATTTTCTTGATTTCCTCTCGACTAAAGCAGCACTCCATGTCTGCCTGCAACCATAAAAAACAACCATGTGCCTACAAAGAACAATCAACCCACACTTCATGACAGCTTCCCTCCAAACAGGTGAATCATTTCACAAAAGTGCAGTACTGTAACACACAAACAGAGCGAACACTTCTCCTAATGAAATGTTGTACTCATTGCAGTTAAATACACTATGCATTTCCACCCGTGCATTTTGGATTATTACAGTATTTCAAAGAACTGACAGACACCCTGATAATCGATAATCTCTGTCACAAAGGCCCCTTCTTTCCCACTGAACCACCCACCCACCGTTAATACCTGCCATATAGCAATCTGAGGATGATTGATTAGTCACAGAAGCACAGGGAAACAGGAAGGGGCCCTCTCCATTAAGGAGAGAGAGTGAGCACTGCATTGAACGCACCACACAAGCTACTGAGAGTAAAAGAGTGCGCTGTAATATACTGACTATGTAAATAACGTGACTGTACAATGCTTTATAGAAGACAGAAAACAAACTCTACCTTATGATCACTGAGGTTTTTGGCACATTTAAGTTGATCCAAAGTCAGAAACTGAGTCTCTCAACTTCATCTGCTTCCTAATAAAAGATTAAGCAACAAATACACTTTGGGAGACTGTGAGAGCAATAGCCAGGGATGAAAGTATCGTAAATCTTTAGGGACCTGGTTTTTAATTTGATTTTATAGGTGCTGAGCAAATCAAAACAAAAAAAACAAAGAATGTCAGAGGAGCATTGCTATTGAAAATGCCAAAAGGGCTCCAGTGTTCTTTTACTTCATCTGTAATCTATCATTTTCTAGTTTTCTGATGAATGAATGCCAGAATATAGAGCTTGATGAGTTATTTTTTATTTTTTATTGTGTTGTATATTGAACTTTGTCTTTTAGTTTTTATTTTTCACTTTAACTGCCAGTATGTGTACAATGCTGAGAGAAGTCTGCCTTTTAAGTTTTAACTTCCCTCAACAGTGAAAAACCTAAAAAATAAAAGCAGTTGTATGAACAGCATGGAGTAAAATTGTATTTTTGAAAAATAATTTTGTACTGTATGACTACTTCAAGATAAACTTTGCATGTTCTGCTCCATGTGTGATATGTTGTAAAGGTTGTTAACTCATGGTGTACTAGCTTTATCCAGTACAGCTTTTGACCGTATGTCACGTTCTTCTTCTAACAAATGAATTAGCTCAAGTCATCACAAGGCACTGCTTCACTGCTAGTTACTGCTACAGCAAAAAGCCACACTGTACTTGGCCAGGTGAATATAATAATAATGTAAAAACAATAGTATTAATTTGAACTGGCAGCAGTAGGAAATGTTGGGTTTGCATTAACTTAGAGCAAACCATAAAAATGAGGTTGATGTTGATATTTGTAAACTATTTTAAAAAACTAATACATGATTACTTACATTAATCATTTTCCTGCGATTCCCTTGTGGTTAGGTAGGCAATTTGAATCCAGCACAGTAATGGCGGACTCCACCTCTAACAATGAAAACTACTATATAGAGAGGTATTATGAGTGTTAATACATTGAATGGCTATTGCTAAAAAAATCTTAATGAATGTCCTTTTCTGTATAGGTGAGTGAGGGATAACCATCCCTTCTCCATATATGACCACCTGTTATAACCGTCCCATTATTACAACACATGAGGACTGAGCAAGTTCCATTTTCTGAAAAAGGCAGTGAGATTCAATCAAAAGCCTGGTTAAAAGTTGAGTGAATTTTAAGTTTCTCATATTTTATCATCAGTGTCAAAAGTGAACCTCCATGCTTATTGTAAATTATTTAAATTATAGGGCAGTTGAAAAACTTGTTTTAAGACAAGACAATTTAAGTTTTGTGTTCTTAAGTGGCTCTAAGAGGATAAAGGTAAATGCTAAAGCTTAGTGTACAGGTATCACAAATAAGTTAGAGAAGCATCCTAAAGTGGACTGAGTCAGTAATGTGTATTATACAGCAATAACTACTTGCTAAGATTTGCTAAAATTAACCTCCATACACTGCTGATCATACCAGACAAAGTAAGGCTGTAGCAATAACTTCTTGAGTATTGAGTTGAGCAAAAGAGTTTTATTGCTTATAAATTCAACTTTCTATTTATATAATAGCATAAAAGGGAGAATGTGTGATTTCTTATATATAGTCTCCCTTTGAGGTAATACAATACAGTGAATTGGGCAGTTTGGAAAATACATATTTCGCTTTCTCAAGAAAGTGGAAACGGGGAAACTTCCTAGTATATAAAACTGCCTGCCTTGGTATAAAATGTGTTAATTAGTGAACTTGGAAGGTGCTAAAACTTTGATTTTGTTACCTTTAGACAGAGCCAGGATCTTTATGCTAAGCTAAGCTAACTGGTTGCTGGCAGTAGCTTCATACATCATACTTGACTGTACAGACATGATAGTGGTATTGATCGTCTCATTTAACTCAAGCCAATAAGCATATTTCCCACTGTTGTTCACTCTACCTTTAAATGTAAGATTTTGATGAAGCCCTTACAACACATGTATTTGTATGCATCAGTGAATGTATGCGTTTCTATAGGTGTCTCTTAAATACAAGATGTATTTCATAGCAGCAGCAGCAGCTACATTATCCCATCCCACAGCAGTTAACATGCATCATCAATAATATATACAGCATATTGACTTTAAAGTGCACATTAAATATTTCACACAACATAATTAAGTAACAGCAACATGAGCGTCATTTACTCTCCAGTTCACATTTCAATAAAGCCCTTTTAACTGCTTGAACAGTGATCTGTATAGTGAGACAATACACAGAAAGATTTGTATTCCAATCTACACAAGTTATAACAAAAACAACTCTCAGATCACAGTCAAGTGTACACCAACTGTATTCACTTTCGTATATATACATATATATATACATATATATATATATATATATGCAATATATAGCATCTAAAGACCAGTTTTGGGCTGCAAGAAGTTTTTAGTTTTTGTTGTAGTTTTTAGACTTCAGTTTTGTACAGATTAAATAAATGAGATATAATGTGTTAAATGTGAGCTTAAGAGAGGCTGGTAGGCAGATTTTGTTTACTTTGAGCATAGCCAGGTTGGCTGTTTTAATTCTGTTTCCAATTTTTATGCTAAGTTTAGTTGGCTGGCTGGTATATAATATTTACCTATAGACACGAGAGTGGTATCAATCTTCTTATCTAACTCTCGGCAAGAAAACAAATAAGCATATTTGAATGAAGTATATTTACCACAGCTGCTTCCCTCAATGAATACACATGAAATAACTAAATCATGTCTATATAATCACACCACATAACTTGAAATATGTGTCTCTCTTCAGTCAACCACTTTAAATGTAGCATTTATATCAGTAACCTACAGAGTAGTCGTGAATCCGTCTACAAGGTCACCTATGACATGTCTTGAGCTACATTCAGTCCGACCCGATCAAGATATTTCTTCTCCAACATGCTCCATGTATTTATCTGAGGGCTCAGCAGGCGTACGGTGGAGGTTTCTCAAAGGGGCTGTAGGGGGATCCGTAGAGGACAGGAGCGTTGGGTGTCAACATGTAGCCCCCTGGTTCCTGGGTGGCTCCCTGTGGCTGTTGCTGTGTGGGAGCCTGAGATGGCTGCTGGCCCTGGTTCTCCTCAGACAGGCAGGAGTTGGAGCCAGGGCCTCCGTCAGGGATCAGATGGGGAGTAGTAGGTGGATGAAAGCTGCTGTTATGCTGTAGGAGAGGAGAAGAGACAGGGAGTGGTAGGTTGCAACGGTATGTGGAAGTAAAGCCAAAGATGCCTAAAAATAATTTCTGACATTTTTATGTGAGGTGTGGTTTTCATTTTATTGCTTTGTGTGGTTTGGTTCTGCGGTAGTAGCCACAGAAATATCAGCAAAGATGAGCCATTGTCAATAATAAATATATGAGACATACACATTTCAGGTAAAGTCACCATGATATACAGTAAATGAAACAATGCATTTGCTTATTTGAAGTGACTGGTGTGTTTAAGAACAACAGCTCATGTCCGATTTACTTTATGTCACCAGTTCATAAAGCATCAATCAGGCATTCCTGTGGTCAACAGGTTCTTGGACGACGGCTTTAACAAAATATTATCTCTATGTTACAAGAAACAGGACTAGTAGAAGAATTTATAGCCATGCTAGCTAGATAGCTCTGTGAAATCCATCCAATAGGTGTTGAGTTATTTCAGTCTGAACTAAAGGGGTGGACCGAACGACTGACACTGACATTGCCAGAGCCATGTCATTCATTTAGCTGATAATCACTACCATGTCACTACCATTTCTTGAGAATACATGGTTTTAGTCAGGTTTTGTAAGTATCCACCTCAATAATGTGACGTGGCAGCGTCAGATTAATAGTTTTCTTTCTGGTCAAGCGCTTTGATGTTAGAGTCAAACAGCTGCAGCAAGAATAAGTGTGATCCAGTGCTGCTCATCGCGTTGCCAAACTAATACACTGGAATGGAAGGCTGGCCATTTTACAGCAGACACTTATTGTAGGAAAAGCACAGGTGTTACTACTAATATTAATGATGGCTTTGTTCTATTGAAGTTGCCCACTAAGACGTGACAGTGAGGCAGCGTGAGCAATACCATGACCCTGAAAACAAAAATTGTATTCAACCGTCTTTCCGTTCTTCAGTGTAATAGGCCTTTGTCTTCAGCGAAAATTTGCCCATTAATGGTTCTTGTTTGTTTTGGTCTGGGACCGTACCTGCATGGATATTGGATAGTTGGGGTAGGCAGGCAGAGTCTGTCCTGAAGGACAGAAGCCAGCGTAGGTGAGCATGTGCTGGGTTGGGTTGTACATGATGTGGGGTGGCGGTGTGGGGCTGGCAGCCATCTGAGGAGTTGGCTTTTTCTGCAGGAGAAAATAGAAATGCTTTGGATAAGATAGGAAATCATCAGAGGGAAGTTGGAAGGCAAATGTGAGTAATTGTGTCGCAGTTACAAATGAATTGTACACACATGAAACGCACACGCGTCATTATGGAAGAGGTAATGAAGTGTGATTGCTGCCTAATGTACTGTAGAAACAGTAATCGTAAAATCGGGAACATTAAGGTTAACAAAATAAAATCTGATTTTCATGTCATTGAAACAGATTGTCAGACTACTATCCATGGCAGAGAAACCTTTTTTTTTTCTGAGTTTTTAGTCCTTTCATGTGTGAGTAGTAAACTTCTGAAAATGTGGTCAGTAAAACCAAAAGATATCTGCACACACATAAGTCAATTTTATGTTTCAAACAAAGCTTCGATAAAGGAACATTTAATGCCATTAAATATTACACAACAGTATTCAGCTGATGCTTAATTTTTGACAGTTCAATCTCATGAGTGACCCCTTCTGCAATTCAGGAACTATGCTGATCAGATGCAGGCAGAGCAAGCTTAGCACACTTCCTGTGACAAATCTAAAGCTGTGAAACATGCTCTAATGAGAGATGTTACTGAGTTGTCATTAAAATAATGTTTTCTAATGACACACATCCTGGAAATCAGGATCCTATGGTTCACACACAGGCCAGAAACAGATGTTAGGGATTTCACGTTGTTCAGTGTCAGAGACTGTATGGGGCCTGCAGGCAATAAGGAAAGGTTACTAGTTTGAAATCATGAATATAATAAAAAGCCTTTGTCAGGCTTTTGCTGAAACATCTGTGTCACCCATGTAATATTACAAACTATGTTATTTCTGCCTTTAAATTTTCTTTCTTTGGAGCGAATGGCCACAGAAAATTCCTTTTATGAGTCCTTTGCTTGCCTAAGCGAGCAAAGATGCACTCAGATTTTTTTCTCTTTTTTTGGACTCCTGCTCACCAAATCCTTGTACGCTCCGAGGATGGCGGCAGCGATGATGCCCAAGAACAAGGCAATCACGTTGAACACCACTGAGGCCCACATCAGACGGTACAGGTAGACCACATCCCAGCAGCTGCTGACCCCAGTAAACTCATAGTACTGTGTGTGGTACTCTGTGCTGGAAGAGGAAGACAGCAGGGGGTCAATACAAAATACATAGGCCTTCTTCACAGCAGACATTTTGACTTATCATAGCACAGTCATCCTATTAACAACAACATGTGAAAATGTCTGCCATAAGAAATGTCATGCATGGCAACTTCTTTCCACTTTCCACATATCACAGTTGTTGTTTTTGTTTTATTTCAAATCTTCCAGGTATGAAAGAAATATACTATATTACTTTAATAAACTTTCCAGGCAGCCATTTTATCAGCTAATACTTGAATAGTAATGTAGGTGCAAACAGGGAGGGGCTTTTTGGAAAGCGCTTTCTCTGTGGTGTGTTCAAGAGCTCATGGAAAACTCCAACATTCAGAATTTTAAAGCTGGCTGTAGAATAAAAACCTCTTTAATGCAAGAAAGTGCCAAAATCACAATATTCATGACAGTTTGTGTCTCCAAAAAGTGAGCTTCCTACAGCAGGCAGCTCTGAAATTTAGGATACTGTACAATAGCCACTGCTCTTTACTGTATTATTACACAGTTAAAATTATAAGTGACAGATAGAGATAAATATATAAATGTTCACTGTGATGGACATCTTCAAGCTAACAGATAAAGTGTAGTGAAACGGATGGGGATCAGTTGTTGTTGCCTGGTAGGTAGAAAGTGAATCTAAAAACGTGTGAAAATACTATGCAGTGGTGTAAAGTGCATGCAAATTGCAAGTGAATGGGTTAAATGGTGCAAACCCAGCTCAGATCTGAACACCAGCCGCTTGTGTTGTTGCGTCTCACCTCTCACAGTTGTACAGGTAGCAGCAGAAGCAGGTGTTGCTCCTCAGGTTCATCTTGCATGCTTTGCATGTCACCTGCCGTGTCAGAGAAGAGGTTTTTAATCATGTATACTCAATGTTTTACTAATCTCACGAAAACTGATACAGCAGCCAGATAAGCAGGAGCTGGACAAAGAAATACATGACCACTGGGAAACTGTCTGCATGTCAACATATCATTTGCATAACTTCTGTTTGCTTTGATGAAAAAAAGCAAACTAGATGCAGTTTCAGTGTAGTAACTTTATTTGACCACCAGATGTCACTACATACTTTATGATTATTTCCAAATGAGGTCAAAAGTCTGCAAGAACACAGAATTTAATTCTGCATTATCCTTAAATGAGTTCAAACATAATTTACACCATTTTAAAGACAACTACTGGGACACACAGGTAAAGCACCTTGCAGGAGCAGGAAAATTAGAGCTAAAAGTGATCTGGAGGTGTATAGAATTTAGGCTAGGCTATGTTAGATATTTAAATTATTCTCTAAATATTTAAGAAAACATTTAGTTTATTTTAGTTTATTTGAGAAAATAAAAACACCTGTCCCATCAAAGACTTGCACGTGAAGAAACTGTCAAGGATAACAAAAAGTGACTTATTTCCATCGTGGTCCCTGATGTTCCATCGGTCATAGCAAGGTGATAACAGGCATCAGAAGAACAAAGCACATACAATTACAATACATACATTCCACTTCATACATACACAATTTTAATACACATTAGTAAGTAACAGGATGAGCATTGTCCAAATAGCAAGCAAGTCCTTTAAATTGGGATGCGGTCCATCTCCTTTTCCTTAATCTTAGTTTTGAAGGTAAAGAGGCTCCTATATTCCACTCCATGGATACCTGAGACTTGGACCTACTAAGACTCAAGTTAGCAATTCTTCATCCACTTTCTTAAAATAATTAGTAAAATAATTCAAGGCCCAACCGTGTATGATCTTATGGATCAAACTGAGCTGCAGCTGTCTTGCTCTTGCTTGAACTGGCAGCCATTTTAACTCTTGAAATTGAGTCCTGCCCATATGAGTAGGCCCAACACCAACCTTTTATTTATTCTGAGACACCTGGCATTTTTGATTTAATGCTGCAGATAAGAGGAAATAGAATAGTCCAAGTGAAATTAAAAACGACTAGATGCCAATACCTTAAGGCAGTCCCTGTCTACTAGCTTTGCCTTTCGAGCCAGGTCTCTGGTTCTGGCATTAACCTTCCCCAAGACCTTCAAGACCATTCTCTCTCCTCCCAGGTTCTCATCCAACATGCGGCCCAGGTAATTCACCAATGTCCTTGTATTTATATACTCGCCTCCAAGCTCTAACTGTAAGGTTGAAACTTTGCTCAACCTTACTTTAGTACCAAATAAGATGCATCTTACACAAGTGTAGAGAAAGCCTGTTGTGTGATAACCATGTTCTTATCTTCACCTAATATCTCCTTTATATCTTTATGTGAAACAAGTATGGCAGAATCATCAGTATACAAAAACAGTGCTCAGTGAGAAATAACTTGCTATGTCTGTACAATGCAGACAATGGCAGGTGATATATTAAGTGTGTGTATACATGTATGTATGCGAATCACCTCAGTGTAGTAGCTGTCGTAGGCATAGGCCGATCCACTGGTGTAAAAGTCACACATGTTCTCCTGCAAAAGCCTTGAGTCCTGCGAGTGTTAGACAGATTCGAAAGAGAGAGAACGAACTGATTTGTTAAATCTGTTAAATTCATTCAAGTTAATAGACTTGTCATACCCACACCACATCTGAATGTTTCTCTGTGAATCAGTTACAGAGTACATCTCTATGATTTAAGGGTTGCACAGCACTTTCTGTACTTCATGTTAAGTTACATGTGTGTGAATTTCAACCCTGGCTTGTGTTATTCTGCCCATCGTCCTCCTGTTTCTCTGTCACTGCTTCGCTGAAGGTTTACAACATGCGCCTGATCAAACACAAAACCTATGGCATTAAACCTCACGGGACTTTATATAATGTGAAATATATTGTGATTGTCCAACACTCGAAGGTGCAATAAATCTGCTTTTTACTGTCTTGTGAATATATATATCTGCAGAGGTTTGATAGCACTGTTGATCAATATGAGTGACTCGGTGCCAGGTGCTGAGAGGTCCAGCTTTTTAAACTCTCTATGGTCCAAACTCATTAAGGTACTCATTAAAATTCATTAGGCGGATGTGACAAACTGAGGCGTTCGTGTCCATGTTTCCAAACACCGAGAACAGATATCCAGTGAGTTAGCAACAGTGACCATATTTGACCTCTGTGCATTTTCATTCACATGTAGACACATTCAGGTATTTGCATTTTTTTAATAGACAGTTAGATGATGCCATGATGAGGACACATGGTGGACTGATAAACTGACATGTTAAACTGATAATACATTTTTTTAATGAGGCTTCCTCCTATGGAAACAAATAATTAAAGTGGTCCTATTATGCTCATTTTCAGGTGCACCATTATATTTAGGGGTTGTACCAGAATAGGTTTATATGGTTTCATTTTCAAAAAACAGATATTGCACATTGCTGCAGCACCTCCTTTAACCCCTGTTTGTTGAAGGCTGTAACCACAACTTCGATTCAGCTGTAAATGTTCCCAATCCAGCTTTGCGACCTAGACTGGAGCAAGAGTTTCAGGGTGGTAAGTAACAAATCTGTAACAAATTGATCTTTCATACGTTACTTTTTAACTGTGCATTCTCTGTACATCTCAGCAACAACTTTATGTCTATTGACTGCCTGTAGGGTATCTAATGTTCAGTAGGGAGGGTGGGGGAGAGGGGAGGGAGTGGGCAAACGTCTTGTCACTGTCGCTGCAGCTCAGTGTGTTTCTCCACCAGTGTTTTGGAGGGCATGCCGCACTAGCCGCTAGGAGAGCATTATGACAGGTGTTACATTGTGACGCAGATAGGTTACAGAAGTAAAGGCTGGACTACAATTGAGTTCAGGAGATGTTTTCTGTGGGACGTGGTAACTTCCTTTGGGGTGGACTTTGGTCTTTTTCACTTTGCAAACCTATTACATGCATAGACTGTATATAAAAAGATCACAATAAACTTCTTTCTTTCTTTTTCAATTAGATGTATCGCAAAATACTGTATATGGATACATCAAATTCCAAAAGACCATTACAAGGACGTTTTTATTTGTTTGCACCGTAATACAAAAATTTTCAGTGACTTAGAGAAAGTAAAGTGACATTTGGACACATTTAATCAGCCCTGTTATGCTGAATGTTTCCCCAGCTCTTCAGACGACCCAGCAGCTCTCTGCAGGCTGAGATTAGTTGGGCTGGTCTACCTATCTGGTGTCGTGATGGTACTGACACTTCTGTCTGATTGCATCTACAAAGTTCCTGATCTCACTTATGTATCTGTGCCAGTCTTGCACACTTGCATTTCTATAGCAAACCCACTCTGTCTCTGTTGACAGCAGCATGTGTGTGATTAAATTATCACAGGTTTGCTATGACAAAAAAGGTGAATTTGTTTTCAGTGCGGGCATGTAGATACATGTGATACTTACAATGAACTTTGAAGCGATGATCCCGTCCACAATGGCACAGAAGAAAGATGCGATGACTCCCATACTGATGACAATGATCGCTGCCATGAGCTTAGAGAGAGGTGGAACAAAGACAAAAGTACCAGTGAGTATTATCAGAGTAACAGTTTATGAGATCATCAGCTTGTGTTTTGAAAGCACAACTATATGAACTGGAAACATATTTGCAGCAAATATAAATCTATTTATAAAAAAATATTTATGACCAGAATTTTATTCTGTTTTATCAAGTAGTTAACAATAACCATAAGCAGAGGTTACTCAGACCAGGGGTAAAGATACAAATAGAGCACCCTAAAATTTAACAGATAGATTTTAAGTTTTTTATTCATAAAATTATTTGACCATTTATTTCTACTCACAGTATCATCATTTCATTTTCCAGAGTATTTATTATTTCTTATTCTTACTTATTTATATTTATGAATGAATTTGTATAAAGGCAAAGTCAAAATGTTATCATAATCTTAACACACACACTCGTGTATGTAAGCGTGGTGTTTCTACTGGTGTGTGTCCTGACTGGTCGTCTGCACTGTCTAGGCTGCAGGACGATAAAGGAAATGTACGGCTTCTTGCTCTGCCAGCGCAACACAGAGGTGCTTTGTGGGAAATTTACGAGCAATGAGGCAACGTACAGGACAGAGGGGCAGCCTTTTGTACCAGCAAGGTCAATCTAATTCTCCCAGTCTGATACACACACACACACACACACTCACGCCAGGCGCCTGGACAGAAATCAACATTGTTGCTTATCTCACACATTCATGCAATCCATTAAAATCAAGCTGAAAAATATGATCACTAATCAATAACCTCAAATGTTTACTTACAATTCTTTTTTTCTGAGCAACCTGTTCCTCCATGTAGCTTTTATTGTGAGACAAAGTAATTTTCTGATATCTCACACACACACACACACACACACACACACACACACACACACGCATGCACACACACACACACACACACACGCATGCACACACACAGCTCAGCAGACCCAGCTGGCTGATCACAGATGTCTGATCGTGAACTTTATCACTGAGCATCATTTACTGTCTGTTCAATCATTCCTCCAGGACCAAATCTGGAGCAGGAGATTAAACCCTCTCTACTGTATCTGTCTAAAATGGTAGGTGGGATACAGCAGTTTGTCCCAAAGATTAAGCAAAAAAGTAGAAATGCCGTATAGATTTAATAATCTACTGATCTTGCATTGACATAAGCAACTTATTTGATACATGGGAGACTTTTCTTTTCCTTTCCTTGATTTCAGACACCAACTAGATGGACCATTGGTATGTAGGACCTTTCAGTAAAAAGCAGAAATAATCATGCCTGTTCAATATAGTGCTGTAAGTGCCAGGTTTATTCATGCCTGTTCAATATAGTGCTGTAAGGCCCAGGTTTATTCATGCCTGTTCAATATAGTGCTGTATGTGCCAGGTTTATTTAACAAGTCAATTTGATTTGGACTGACTTTTTGTCAACATAGTGTTATATATGAAATGTCTACCTGTACATGTATAACACAAGGTGTGGTGAAACGGATGTGGAAACAATTTCCCTCAACAAAGTGAAATAAGAGCCAAGCTGAGAAAACAGGCTTTTTTTCTGTGTGGGTTTTATCTGCCACTGGCCCAGACTCTCCACTTAATTAGCAGTTTAAATGACTCTGCTTTTATGGCCTCCAAGTGCGAGATGAGGCCAGCAGCAGAGACAATAGAGCCTGACAACTGCATTACTTCACATTACCTTAGCACCAGCTGCCAGCACATAAAACACCTCAACACACACTTGGTTGCCCAAACCCCCAAATCTCCCCTGATACAACTGAAGCAGAGAAAAAAATCAAATACTGTAAAAGATTAAAGACACAATGTAGATAGATTTCTGCTCTCCGGAATCGATTCATTAAGGAAATATTAAAAAGATGCAGGTGTTGGAAAATAACATACTCAAGTACTGTACTTCATTTGCATATTAGGCTATTTCATACATACTACTACTCCTACATTTCAGGGAAACATATTATACTTTTTATTCCACTACATTTATGGGACAGCTATGTTTACAGGCCACATTGAAATTATATAAAATACAATGCATTGTAAAAGATGAGGTACCACAGTGATACACAATGCTGATTAAGCCGATCACCACCAGGTAAATCTCTTTGTACATCGCAGTATACCAGAGTCTGTGGCGAGATTGGACGGTAATGATGTGTTTTATGTCAACCAGCAATGGCTGGTTTGCCAGAGCTGAAAGGGTGAACAACATAGCAACCTAGCAATCTACAGAGGTATACGTCGACAGTGTTGACAGCGGTTTGTGCACAGGTTTAAGCCTGCAGTGCTGGCGAATGTTAAGTCCAATATTCACTCTCTTTTAGCTCTGTTTTTGGTCTCCACCAATTCCTACGAGAAATATCTGGCTCTTTAGCTGCTAAGTGCTTCACTATGTTCACCAGCTAGTTGCTTACTGTGTCTGTCTGCTGTTTGGTGCTAAGCAGGTAGTGGGCAGATGGTTTTTAGAGCTTTTTCACTGTGAAAATAGCTGCCTTCTGTGTCCGAAAACACAACAACAACAACAACAACAACAAAAGTTGCGGTTAAACAATAAACAGATAAGGTGAACCCTTTCACATTGTCATTTGATACATTGTTGTTATAAAAAAAGAAGATTATAGCTGCTTTAAGTACTGAAAACAGAGAGAAATGCCTATAAAAGACATAGACACACATGATGAAAGTTTTAGAGGAGATGATGCATTAGTGACAAAGAGATAAAGACACAAAGAGGAATATTGTAGAGTCAGTAAAGATACCTATCAGGTTATGTAACTAAATAAGCTGACAGCTGCAAGGTCTTTTTCCCTGTTCAGTGGTCCAGTGACCAATCACGACCACAGCTGGACACCCTGGTAATAAGAACTTGGGTAAAATACGGCCCTTTGAAGGTTCACCGTTCTGCTCTCCAAGCTACAAGGTGACCAGAAGGACGGCAGTCTGAGAGATACAGGCAGTAACTACAGAAGAGGCTGCTTTAGCAAAGAACATGAGCTACGTGAAGCATTTAGTCATAAAGAAATCTTACAGTGTATCAGGGCAGTGAAGCCTGTTTTATGAGCGGCAGGGGAAGTGCAGATAGAGAGGGAGTTTTTCTTTTATCCTTTTTTTACAGACACAATGTGATGGTCCCTTTTAAACAGTTTGGAGGACACCATAACACAAAATGAAAAGTGGCAGTATGCGAGTCATTAAGATTTTTAAAATTTTGTCCAAGAAGTGTCAGTGGAGCACAAATGTGTGTTTTACCTGCAACAGAGGTTTATGATAGTGGGACAATGTCTTAAAACACAAGTAGCCTACTTCATTTTGTATTAAAAAGCCCCTGTGTAACAGATTCAGCTGCTGTTTTAAACTGAAAGATAACTTTTAAGCTTTTGTTTGAAATGTTTCTATCTATAATTGTTTTTAATCATATTTTCTATGGTATATTTTATGTTTTTGTTCATTATTATCATTTGTATTTATATTTTCTCTATGTTTTTATTTGAGTTAATGTTTCTACTGATTATCAGTCATAGGTACTGTATGTCTGTCACCTGTAAAGCACTTTGAACTGCACTAAACTGGATAAAATCTGTACATATCCAGAATAGCATGTAATTCAGAGGGTTCAGGTATATTAAACCTCTATAAAAGGTGCTGTACAAATATGTTTTCATTGCTTGATTGATGTAGTTCACTTCACAAAAGGGAAGGATTAAACTTGTTCATTTCTGTATTAGATTTCCCCAGTCAGGAGTCAAACTGGAAATGTCTTTCTGGCAGCAGTCGATTAACTCGTCAATTCTCTGACTATTTACAGTTCAAACAAACCCTCTATCAAACCCTCCATCTGCTGCTTTATGAGGTCAGAGGAGCAAAGGGCTGTGAAGCCCAAGTGAAGTTTCAGAGCTCTCAGATGTCTGTGTCATTGTTGGACGGTTAGTTGTTCTTTAATGAGCGACCTTGCTTTCTGCCAACTGGCTCTCGCGTTACAGTACGGGTGTCTGACACATGAGGGAAGAAGACACCTGTGTGAGAGGAACATCGTGCCACATGTGCTTCATAAGAGACACTGTAGACCGGCGCTAGTGTGGCAGCGATCATGGCATTAAAGTTTAAAGCAGAGAAGGGGCAGACAGATACAGAGATCAGTGAATGTCTGTGTCCACACATTAACAGACATACACAACACGAGAAGTGAAACAACAGCAAGGATTCAAAAGGAATGAAAGCCTACAGGAAATATTAGACTTCTTAAAAACCTCACTTTATCTTTGAGAAATGACACAAAGATGCAGCATCTGTCCACATGTGTGAACAGCTCTGGGAAGGGTATCTGTGTAGACCGGATACGATACGGGCTGTATCGTAACGTAGGACAACGATGCCACATTAAAAATTCACAACGCACACTGATACACCACAGTCATGGTGACAGGCCGAGGGAACATTTTTTACATCACCAAGACAATTTTTGTTTCACTGTACTGTATCAAGCTATTAAAGTGTCTCTAAATGTCTCTAAAATGTCCGTGAAGTCATTTCAGAAAAAAATAAAGACAAGAACTTGCATTCTGCTGAAGTTTCCGTGTCACTGGTGTCCTCTTCAGTCCTTGCAGGGACTTAACATAGTTAATCTCATGCAGGGGTCCATATACTGTGAATGTGATACTGACTTAAATACTTAAATACACAGAAGAGCAATTTCAGCTTCTGGTTGCCACTGGCCCTTAAGTGGTATTTGCATTATTTGGCCACTTGACTTTTTACACTAATTACACTAATTTTAGGTCAGTTCATGCACATTTCATTCCTCTTTTTATTCTGTCTTATTTCTTTTAATGGGTCTGAGGCCCTCGAACTAGGATTTTACTTCATTCACTATATGTTAAAAAATAGTGTTATTTAGGACTGACTTCTCTGATCAGATGCTTCACTTTCTTCAATTACATTTTAAGAGAAGTCAATTATGGTTTCAGACAGGTGGTCAGTCTACTCTGGAGTCACTGACATGATCATCTTTTGAACCCCCTGTTGTACAGACAGGCACTTTGATGATTTTACATCTGTGTCCTTGTCTGAAATAAAGGAGGCCTGTCAGAAGCAGCTGACCATTACTAATGCAGTTTTCCTCTCATGTCATTGAAATCCAGCCAATCTCGTCCACTTCCCCTGACCACAACTCCAGTCACGTGCACTGACCCACAAGGCACAAGGACCAAGAACACATTACTTTGCCATCGAGTAATCAGATTTGCTTCTTGCTCATAATAGAGCAATTTCCCATAAAGCAGTTTAGTGAATTTGCAAAGTTGTAACATAATCCTCTAATTTATGGTGTATATATATATATATATATGTCCTGTTTTCCAGGAACAATGCCTCATTTTTAGAAGATGAATATTATAAAGCTTGAAAAGCTGTCTGAAGTCACCTCGAGAGAGAGAGAGAGAGAGAGAGAGAGAGAGAGAGAGAGAGAGATGCTAGACAAGAAGGCTAAAATCTGAATGTGACATTGTACAATTCGAGCTGTCATTGTAAACAAAAAAGAGGCAAACAATCATGTAGAATGCGTTTTGTAAAGCTCATTAAACATGTACTAATCCTTTTTTGGCCACTTGGGTGCAGCAGATCAAGCTGGAAACACAAAACTTACACATTGTCACCTTTAAAAAGTTGATGCGGTGAACTTGTCAGCAAAGAGTTGTCTATTTACAGATCCAGCAGACACGGAGCAACATTAGCATTCATTTGGAGTTGTGTTTTGGCTCATATGGTGAATGTCACTCTCCTTTTAGATATGTTTTGGTGTCTGGCAACTAGTGAAAAAAATATCTGCACTTAGCTGCTTAAAGCTGCACATTTTTAATGCACACATTTTATATATTTTAGAAGACCAGAAATGTGTCAAATGGATGGAATAAATAAAAATCATCCTTATAATGTGATTTTAAATGTGTTGCAACAGTTACACGAAAGCCAGAGGAGCAGACTCACCATGGGTCTGCGGTTTTCCACCAGGTGGATGCCAACAATACCCAGAAAAGCTCCAAAACTGAGCTGGAGGTACAAAAGATCAAATTGGAAGAAACTTCAGAGAAGGAGCATATGAAAAAATACAAAACACACCATGTCACAATCATAGTGTTTGAGGAATCAATAATGGGAGGCAACTGTCACTCACGGTGATGCCGGGGTAATATCCAGAAACAGGCACGTTGTCTGTGCGAGTGGCAGAGACCAGACCCACAGTCAGCACCACCAGAGATAGAGCCAGCAGAGACACGGTCACCCACAGAGCCGTCTTCTTCCGACGCAGGTACTGAACTGAGGACGAATGGAATATTGTTGTTGAAATGAGTCCTCTTTAATTTATGTTGCAAATTTTTCTCCATGACAGTTGAGCAGTGGTAGAAGAAGTACTCACATTATTTACACAAGTACAACAAGGAAAACATGATTCATTACCCGTAAAAGTCATGCATTCAAAGTCATACTCAAGTAATCATCAACAAAGTATACGAAAGGATAAAACGTTCTAATTATGCAGGTAAAATGCCCCCCCGTCAGTGTTACATTACTATGTGTCAGACTCAGATGTATTTACATGTAGCAGCATTTTATATTGTAGCTGGAGCTCATTCTACCTGTTTTATATGCAGTCATGTGGTATGATGTACTGTATAAAAATATGTTTTGTCATCAAAAGTATGCAGGACTGTTGTTTTTTCATAGCTTTGAAGAATCAGTGGAAGAAGTATTCAAATAAAGAAGAAATACCATATTTAAAAAATCCTCTATTACAAGTTAAAGTCCTGAATTTATAATGTTACTTAGTACAGGCACTATCAGCAAAATGTACTTAAAGTATAAAAAGTAAAAGTACTCAGTGTGCAGAGTGGCACATTTAAAGGTGTTATGTTATTATAGAGTATTATATTATTCTGTTTTATCAAGTTTTTTTTATGAGAAAAGTAACTAAGTGTCAAAGAGGTAGTAGAAAAGTACAATATTTGTATGTACTACAAATGCTGCTACTAGTAGGCTACAGTACTTGAGCAAATGTACTTACATTCCATCAATGTCATCAAAAAGGCTATAGTGTGCATTGACTTTGTGGTAATCATTATACATTTCATTATTTATACAAGTCCTAATTAAGTACAACTAAGTACAATCCCTATAAAGTATACAACATACAATGCAAATACTCAAGTAAAGTAGTACAAGTAGCCTACCTCAGGACAGTACAGTACTTGAGTAAATGTACTTGCCAGCTCTGCAGATGAGCTGTGGGAGAAGCATTTTAAGTATTTCTAACAAAAGCTTGAACACAAGTTAGCCACTAGCGCTTTGGAGGACTTTTTGCGTAAAAATGTGCACTACACACACAAACGTTTTGTATGCACCGAATTCAAATAGAGCAACAGTGAATTAAAGCACACTAGAAATAATGTCCTGGTAATGATAGTGAAGATGCTGCTGTAACAGAGTGAGGTTAGAGGAGCTCAGGATGAAACTTGACATATAACTGTACCTGCTGGATCAAGGATTTCTGTCGCTGTTTGCTGAGTTGCCTGCTGGGTTTCAGGCTGCTGCATTTTGTTTCAGTCCGGACAAATTAGAAAATGAAAAAGAAAATGAAAAAGGCGATCAGGCAGCCCAACCGACGGTTTTAACTGTTTTGATCAAGGCGTTTTAGTTTTTTGTCTCTATATATCGATTCAAAACAGAGTCCTCATCTGCCACAGGCAACAAGCTGCGAGTAGGACGCTTGTTTTGGTTATAACTCAAGATTCTTTAAATAAATAAGAGTCCGATTTCATACATATATATGCCCCCACAGCTGACTGATTCTCTCACGGGTTCAACTTTTCTTGAGAGAGAAAGAGACACAGTGAGAGAGAGAGAGAGAGAGAGAGAGAGAGAGAGAGAGAGAGAGAGAGGAACCAATCAGCTCTCTGTATTCACCTCAGTAATACATTATTAAATGATTGATCATCTTAATACAGCTTAATTATTTTTGGATTCATGTTGAAATTACTTACAGCACGTGGTTAAACTCTATACTATATGATAAAAGGTAAAGTTAGGTTGTGGTGGCTTTTGACGTCTGCAGGCTACATCCCTGACTGATCATGATGAGGGAGCGTTGATGCAGGAAGACAAACTGCAATATGAGTTTACAGCGCCGTCTGTCGGCCACCACTTGCAGAACAAGCTCAGCTTTTAGGCTCGTGAATGAACCTTGGATGTTTGTTTAAAGTCCTGCTTATCTGTGCTGTGTGTGCTGCTCTGGCCTCCTTGTATTGTGAATAGGAACTAGTGATGTGCTAATGTCACATTTTTGGTGATATTTCAGAGTGACAATTTTATTTATGTATGTAAGCAGTGTAAAGGTAAAAGCAATCAATTAGTTGATCTACATAAAATTAATCAGAAACTATTGTGATGACTGAAGTGCTGAACATTCCCCAAATTTAGCATCTTAGTTGTGAGTATTTCTTGTTTTTGTTTGTTTTATGTGATTATAAACTGAATTTATTTGGGAGTATCACTTTGGATTTTAGAAAATTGTGATAGAATTGTGATAGAACATATTGTATAGAGTTCTTAAATAACAATAGTAAACATAATTTCATTGCGCTTGAGTGTAAGCAGCCACATAGGCGTCAGAGATTATTTTACTTTTTTGTAGTCTGAAAGGTGGTGCTTATAGCACCTCTATAACATATGTATTGCTGCCTATAGGATGAAGCTTGACTGCCAGACAGTGATTCTTAAAGGCAAAAATATTTATTTAAATTCATTAACATCTCTGAAGCAAAGTATTCAAGCTTATTATTATACACTTCAGAAGCTGCAAAACTATTATAACACATGGGAGAAGCAAAAAGTGCAAAACATTGCTGCAAATGTGTTCAAAAGATGTGTGTATCATGTAATTTGATTTGTCATTTGAAACGTATCTGAGAAAGTGTTATAAACACATGAAGAGGAAAGAAAGCAGCCGTCAGCTCACATGGCAACCAAATAAAACCAGAGATCAGCACAATCTGGGCTTGTAATGACTGGAAGGAAATATAAATGCTCTTATTTACCTGCAGTTCTTTCACACTGACAGACATAATTATTCATCATTCATTCATCTACCACAAAAAAAAAATATCCAACAGTACTACAAAGTTAGAAACAGACAATTACATAATGCATGGAAAACATTATCAGTCCACATAAACTGAACATGATTTAACAGTAAAGGGTTGTTAAAGCTTGCGTCAGACGTTGGACAATTAAATAACTGCACTGGGGAACCTTGGCTAGCATTGTAGCAAAAAAACAAACAAAAAAAACCCTGGACAATAGGCTGCGGGTAATACGGTATCTAATTTTTTATTAGAGCTGCACTGCTTCTCAAATTCACACATAAAATGCAGCTCAAAGTGCTTTACACCATAAAGACTTTATCATCATCATCAATAATGTAAATTTTGATTCAGATCCACCACTACCCTGTACTGAAATACTGTACAAAAATTGTGTAAGAAATCAAGTTTGATTGATTGATTGATAAACAGTTCATGTAAAATCACCCATTTACTTCAGTTGTTATGCTCCTCTTACGACACCGTGCAGGTGGAGGACTTGGGTGGCTGCTCCAGGATGGATTCACGCCGCAGGTCATTGGGCAAAGCCCCGCCGGGTCCCCAGATTGTGAGCTCACCGTAGATCCCTGTCTCGATCATTTCCTCCTGCCAGGGGATGGGGATGTTCCCTGAGGCAAACTCATCAAAAAAGTCAATGTCCTTGTCTTCCATCTGCACGCCTTTAACTGTGGAGAAGGCCCCAACATCATCGATGTCCTTGGCATAAACTGTCTTGGAGTCGGGCACAAAAGGGGGTGTAAGGATCCCTGAGGAGACACAACACAGGAAGATGCAGTCAAGCACTGTGTTCTGGTCTTTTTTCCACCTTTGAGTACATAATCTATCCTGACAAGACAGACAAAGCTGGCAAGAAGTCCCAGTCTTATGGTAAGAGCCTCAGTCAACTGAGCCACCAGGATCCCCCAAATAACTTTTCACCATCAAGTGTTTGAGTTCATCAGAAAGGATTACGAAGTGTTTAATGGACATCTGGCTTCTTGAAATAATAAAAGTATTTCTCTATAACATTAAATATGCACAACTGAATGTGCATCCATGAACTTATACTTCAGAAAAAAACAACTTTCATTTATTTTTCATTAAGAGTTTCTATCTAAAAATCGATCTACCCCCCTTAATCATGACTGTGTGGGTGTGTTTTGACCAATGTGATTGACAGTGTCCTGGCAATATCACACCTGTCCCCACGACTGAAGCCTGATTGGTGCACAGAAATACTTGACGTCATCGTTATTTTTTTTTTTACTTCAAACCAGTTAGCATAAGAAAAAATACAAAACTATCTTGTGAAAAAGCCAAAATGAATCAAATTTCAGCACTGTTTGTGCTCCTGTAGGACCTCACTGCTCAAAGTAAGAAGCTGATTCAAGAAATAGATTTTCAGGGCCTTTAATATCTCAGTAAATAGTACAATTGCTATTAAAGCGCATAAAATCCACAAAACTCCTTTTTATTAAATAACTGCAATATCTTTTTTGGATGCATATTGCTTGAATAAAAAAGCAACTCTTACACAAGTCACTTACTGTCGCTGTTATGTTAAATGTTCCTAATTATTTGAGCACATAGTTGACTTGTGAAGTGGTGTCAGTACACTGTTTCTACAAGTGAAACTTATCAACTAAAAGAGAATCTTCTTCAAGATTAAACAGAAAAACTGCAGTCAAGGTGTTTTTACATGATGAGCCATAAGTAAATATTGTATATATACACGATTATATATAGGCTATACATAATGTAGGCCTACTGTACCAACACCATAAAATATTAAAACATCCATACGTAGGCAGTATGATATAATAGAACAAAAAACAAAAATCATTATTTAAAATATATTTAAATAATTAATAATAATAATAATAATAATTTAATATTTTAAAACAAAATGAGTGAGCAGAAAGTAAATAAAACTGTGATGAAACAGCAGAAACATATGTGTATATTAATGCAATATGCAAATAGACTGTCTGAAACAGACCTGCATTGAGTTTCCTCCAGTTGATCTCGCTGAAAAAGGGATGCGCCCTGAGCTCATCACATGATCCGTTCTTGAAGCCGAGCCTCTTGTCGACTTCTTTGACCAGCAGACCCTCACAGATGGACCGAGCGTTCTCGCTGAACTTCTCTGGATAAGTTACTGGATCATTCAGAATCCGCTGCTTTACCACCTTATTCTCAACCTTGAAACAGCACAAAGAAGAGAAGCAGCAATGAATTTCTACCTCTCATTTAAAACCTGCAGTTAATCTAACTTTAACACCCTTTTCTTCTTTAAAGTCTGTGACTGCCCCAGAAATTCAGGCATTTGCTTCCAGTGTTGTAGCTTATTATTTATCTGCAGAACGTGCAGGTAAATTCATGCCATTCAGGTTTATGCACATGCACAGTCCTCCAAATATCCTGATCAATACCACTGTAAACGCTCTATAAAGTAAATATCTATATTGATGTACATAAATGGCATGCTTAATGTGTAAATTTCTAATAAAATGCATCAATTGTGACAGTTCTCTTTAAAGTTAAATGCAGTGGAAAGTAACAGTACATTTACTTATGTTTAATTTTGAGATACTCATACTTTACTTGATGATTTCAATTGTATGCTACTTTATACTTCAACACCACTAAATATTTCTGAGGCAAACTTACTTTTTCCTCCACTCCATCTATTTGACAGCTATACCTGGTAGTTACTCGTTATTTGGCAGATTCAAATGTTATAAACAAAGTATGTGATATATATGTTTACAGTTCTATAGATTAAACTATCCAACATTATATAAAATAGTTAGTACATCGTATACTTTGTAAATTTAATAAAATCTTGACTGTAGTACTTTTACTTGTAGGAAAGTATAAAGAGGTGTATTGCTACTTTTACTTAAGTAAAATACATGAGTACTTCTGGTTACTTCTGGTTAAATTATTACTGGTTAAATGAGGGGCCAGTGCTTCAGATTTCACAGCAGTATCAGCATCAGGCCACAAGTGGGCAAAGTTCAGCTGCCAAATCTTAAAAATCTGTTATCACACAGTTTTATTAAAAGCTGGTTTAAACACCATATAAAATAAAGAAGTAAGAGCTAAGAAGACTGTGAGGAAAGAGGCAGAGAAAAATGGAGCCAAAAGAACAAACATAAACATGTTTTAAGCACACACACACACACACACAAAAATTTAAAAACAGCTAAAAACGTGGATTGAGAATAGGTAAAACAGACAAGATCATAAATAGAATCTTTACCTTCTCTCCTCGGGACCTGAAGGGTCCTTTGGCAGCCATAAACTCATACAGAGTGACCCCAAGAGTGAAGTAATCTACAGAGTAGTCATACTCCTCTCCTTTCAGCAGCTCTGGTGCCATAAAACCTGCATGTTAGAGAAAAGAGGTCATGACCTTTCAGTTAGCGAGTGGACATTCATTTGGATAAATCAAAAAGGATCCATTTCTAATTAAACTGCTAAATAGATCTAAAATTTACTTTTTTGATAATATTTTAGTGACTAAATCTGTACTGTGCAAATTACTGTACCTGTTACTTCAGTGTTTCTATTTTTGTGCAACTTAATACTTATACTATCCTGCATTTCAGAGGGAAAACTTGTTCTTACTCCTAATATAGTGTTTCTTTTTACAAAATAGGAGTTAAAACAA